GGTCCATCACTCACAGCTCTGACCTCCACGACAGACAAGCCCCTCTGACACCTGGCCATGAGTTCCCAGGCGCACAGACCACTCTGCTCAGCACAACTCACACTCTCAGGCCTCTGACTCACCCTTGGCATTTGCTCTGCAGATCATAAATCTCTTCTACCTGCACTCCCTTGACCCCTGCAGACAAAGGAGAGAAACTGGTGTAAGGCCCACCAGGAAGGACAGGGTAATATCAGGCACAAAACCAACTCCTCAGAAAGGTTTCTAGGACTTACCAAAATCTTCAACCAGGAGTGTGAAAAGACCTGAAAGGAACAAAACCAACAGGTTACTTCTGGCTGAAGAGAGCAGAGAGGAAATCCACTGCCATCATCCCCTGAGAGTCCCACATGGTCCCAGGCCAAGGCACAGCCAGAGATTCCACAGCAGAGGCACCAGGATCACACCCAGTGCCAGCAGTGGGGATGCTGAGCTCAGAGTGCTCCAACAACCTTCACCCCTCCATCCCCACAGACCATCCTCTTCCTCAAGGGAACCTGAACCAACTCTTCCCTGCCAGAGCCCACTGCAGCTGGCTGCCAAGTGAGCAGCAGGGAGCACCTAAATGACACACACACACCTGCAACCAGAGAGATAAATGATTGAAGATATCACTAGACACTTAAAAAAATATAATTTCGGTTCATGTTAGTGAAAATCATTGAGGGGAGATCCAGATCACAGCAACAGGGCTGCAGGGAAGTCCAAGGGCTGAAAGAAGCTCATCTTCATCTCCCTGTCTCTTTGGGGGAACCAAATCCAACAGCCTGTTTCCAGTGGCTACAAATTACAGGAGGACATAACCAGGGACACAGAGACAACCACAAGAAAACAAGGATTATCAGATATCTGAGCAGCAGCTGCCCCTCTGATGCTGGAGCAAAGGCAGTCAGCCCAATTCTCAGGCAGTCACTCTGCCTGTGGAGGAAGCGAGTTCGAGACTGGAATAACAAATCTGCTTTCTTAGCTCCCTTAGAAAGGCTGCTGAAAGCCTGGGAGGAAGTCCAGGGAATACCAATAAGAAGGATTAAATCCAGAGAAACATCTCTGTAAGCAATGGATTTAAGGACCCTGATGTATGTGACTCAATTAAGAAGAGCCCAAGGGGCTTCCACACCAAAGCTGAAATGATTAAAACAGGGAGGAAACTCTTGGGAGCGAGAAGTCTTCATTAATTGAGCAGAAAACATTGTATTTCTTACAAAATGGTCAGTGAGAAGCAATATGCTGTGGAAATAACATGCTTCAAACCAGTGGGAGGCCAGGCCATTACACCACATCCCATCACCTTCCTCGTCCCTTCCAGCCCCACTGTTTTCTCTGGCATATTTCAGCATTTCATTTTACCTCAGCACCCACAAGAGGCACAGCCCTGCTGCTGACAGCTCTCCTGGAACACTCCAACACCCACACCACGTTATATGGCTTGGCTGGACACGTCCTGGTGTCCACAAGCTCACACAACACTATGCCAGCAGCCTGCATGTCCCCAGGGCTCTCCTCCCCACCCAAACCTGGATCCACCGACCCTTCCTGACCAGTAAAGCACCCACACATTCCACCCAAGCCCCGGTCAGAGGCAGGGGGGAGAGATTCAGCTACTGGGATGTGCTGAGAGCAGCACATGGGTCACTCCTAACTTCTGTCCCAGGTGCCACCCCTGCATCCAAACTGCCACATAGCCAAAAAACCCTGCCTATGCCCAGACATTGTCCCCCAAGCAAATAACCTTCCCTCCCAGCTGTGGGAATCCAAACCATGTCCTGGGACTTTCTGCCGTGATGAAGGCCAGGAGGGGAATGATTTCAGCCTTTTCTAAGTACCAGTAAAGAGAATAAAGAGCAGCAAAACTGGGGGTGACTGGGACAACAGACTCCTTTGCTGAGTGCAAGAGACAAGGATAATTCCAGAGGTCACATTTCCTCACCCACAGCCCCAAAAAACTCACCACCCCATCCCAGAGAGCAGGTCCCAGCCTTGCACAGGACAGCCCCATTGCACACTACAGGAACCCAGAGGGTTAAAACAACATTTCAGACAACACCAGCTTTAGCCCTAAATCCCAACCCTGAAACAACTCCGTGACTCTGCCACAGCACCCACCCCAGGGCAGCGGGAAGGGAACAGCCCTGCCTTGTGCTCCCGCACCGCCCCAGCCCCACCGGTGCTCCCACAGCCCCAGCCC